CGGAACACTAGAAAACTATGAAAATCAAGGAGGCTATGAAGGCGTTCTAGAATTGTAGGAACGACTTTATGGCCTACTTGACTTCCAGTCTTTTCCCTCCTTCAGAAAGGCTTGGAAATTATTAGATTTATACTGTTCCCTGTCAGCGTCAGCGTTTTCCTATTGTGAGGCTATGTTTTCTTTTTGAATTGAAGGAGATTTTAGGCTGATAAAACAGATGAAATAAATGAAAAGCATGAACAATTTGACGTTAATAGATATTTGTAACATAACCTCAAAATAGAGCGCTGACACTGAACAGTAGAAAACTATAAAAATCAAGGCGGCGTCCTACAATTGTAGGAACGACTGACGATACGGCCCTTAGTCTATGGAGCATAATTGTCTAAGGAATTTGTTCCAAATTAATGAAATATCAATTTTATTTTGTGGTGCAATTGATTACTCATTTTCTTTTATGAATGGCAAAATTTTTGTCTTCTATACCTTAGTAGTGTTTCACTTTTTCTTCTACCAAGATTTTTATATCTCTCAAGTTACAACAATCACAATTGTAGTACTTGTTGACACACTTCTGTGAAATCACATACTTGACACAGTGGTGTATGTTGGAATAACGTCGCTTTACATATTCTGTAGCTTCATTTGATACCGACACCATTAGCGACAACTATATCGATAATTTTCGGCGGCCGCCATATTGGATTTATTGTGTTTCTCTTATCAAGCCCTGTCCTTCGAGTATCATAGGGGAGAGTATGGAAATTATAAGCGCTATCTTGCGGTGGTCGCCATATTGGATATTAGATGACGAAACTTTGCTTATTATGTTTCTTTCATCGAGACCTGACGAGACTTGATACCCACGATACACATGAAGATAGGATGTTGCGCATGTGGGCGGAGCTTCGTGACGCCACCTTGAGAGTCGTCGGCATGTGGTTACCAGCGGCAGGATTGTCGTATCGTGGTTAATACTATACAGGGTGTCCGCAAAGTTGGGGTTTCCCTTTACACGACGTGTAGATCTTGAAAACATAAGCAATTTTTCTTAGTACCATATACACCAATGTCTTAAGGGAACCAAGATAAAGGGCTCTGCAACATCAAACATATCTGAATACCGTCCTGTAGCCGCGACCCGCGACATCACCGAGTGGTACAAGGTCACTGGCTCAACCCGACGACAGAACTGGGTCGGGGTCAGCGTGTCAGGTCAGTATGCGTATAATCGATTGCGTTTCAAAAAAAAATAATAATGGCACACTCATACACCAATAATGAACTCGTTGATATGTTGTTAATTTATGACGAATGTCTTCAAAATGCTACAGAGGCTTCGCGAGTGTATGCAGATCGTTTCCTTAGACGACATCATCCAAGGCCCCGCAGATTTGTGTACCTGGTCCAGAGAGTCAGGTATACGGGCCATTTGGAGGAATTTCGAGGTGGGCACAGTGGGAGGCCTAGACAACCACGAATGGTGCAAGTTAAGGAAGAACTACTGAATCGCGTAGACGAGAATCCCTCAACAAGCACTAGAGACGTGGCTAGAGAAGTGCAAGTATCAAAAACTAAAGTGTGGCAAACGCTGCGTGAAGAGGGGCTGTATCCGTTTCACGTCCAACGTGTACAAGCCCTTCAACCTGACGATTTTCCAGCAAGAGTGCGGTTTTGTGAGTGGTTGTTGCATCAACATGACAATAATTCGGACTTTTTGAAGTGCATATTGGTGACAGACGAATCTACGTTCACGCGTAATGGGGTGAATAACTTTCGCAACACTCATGTTTGGTCAGTAGAAAATCCGCACGCTGTCCGTCGGGCACATTTTCAACAAACATTTTCCGTGAATGTTTGGGCTGGCATGGTGAACTGTATGCTCATTGGACCATTTATTCTCCCAAATCGATTGGACGGGATGCAATACCTAGACTTTTTACGCAACATTTTGCCTTCCTTGTTAGAAGTTGTGCCATTAAGTGTAAGACAATCAATGTGGTTTCTGCACGATGGTGCACCGCCCCATTTTAGACGCGAAGTGCGTGAGTTTTTGAATGAATTATTTCCGAATAAGTGGATCGGACGTAATGGACCCGTAGCGTGGCCTCCGCGATCTCCAGACTTAACACCATGTGATTTTTTTTTCTTTGGGGAGAAATGAAACGCTTAGTGTACAAAACTGAAGTGCATACGGTTGACGAACTTCGTCTCAGAATTGAACAAGCTGGTGCTTTCATTCGGGGGAGGGACTCCATTCTCAAAGCCTGCACCGATGCTTGGCTACGTCGTGCACGCACCTGTGTTTTTGAATCAAACGGCGATAACTTCGAACAATACCTATAACGTACGTTTACCTAAAAACTGAAAACGCGGCAACGCCGTCATATTTGTTACCTCTGTTCGTGGTCTGCACCACCGCCTGCGTCTGCTCGGTAGTGCATCAGCTGATTTCATTTTCTGTTGGAGCGGTATGATTTCGGGCAGAGACGTACTTAGCCCTTCTCGTCAACTGAAGAGTGAGTACTTTTTCCTTTATTTTTTTTTACTTGGTCGCCCTCGTTTCACTACACATTACCCTTGTTATTTCAAGGGTAGTTGTTTCTGAAAAGGACAACCCCAACTTTCTGGACACCCTGTATAGTGCGATTTGTTGGTGGTTTTGTGACTTGTTGTATTAGTAATACATACTATATATACCCTGTGTGAGTTGATAAATTGATAAAAATGCGGTGTGCTGTTATGAAGTTGGACCTTCTACAACTACGCTTCAGTGTCCTATTACCTGTTAACAAGACGTCTTAATCAAGATGTGATAGAAAACTTTTTCGGAGTAATTAGGTCAAAAGATGGTCTTCATGACCATTCAAGTCCCCTAGGATTTAAGTATAGAATAAGATCATATATTTTGTGGCGAAACGAAGGCGCATACTCACAGTATTGCAGCGTAGAGTCAAAGGATACTCGAGACATTCCACTAACCGCATCATTAACGAATAAACTGAATGCACCTGCAGTATCAGCTGACTATAACGAGGAAGTTTTAGTGGAAGAAATAGATGAGCTCGAGTATGACGGCCTGGAAAATTTGGCCAGCATTCTTTGCAATAAATTGCAGGATCAGAGGTTCAAAAGTTCTCCAAATGAAACTTTCCTGGAGATCTTATTGAGGGTGGATTATCAAAACCTTCCACAGCTTTCATGAGTCAAATTGAGAAGCTGAACAAAGTGTTTACTGAATTCAATGGGGATGGATTAGTGACAGAAACGCACACTTTTATAGGCGAACTTCTGTTGAAGAGCAGCAACAGTTACTGCCCTGAAAAAGCTAAAAAACTATTTTTCAAGTCAAGGATGTTCTTGTGAATCAAAGAATTGAATAAAAGTTTGAAAGACCAGAAAAATCGTAAAAAAATGGAGAAAAATTGTTGCTTAGAGTTAGTCATTTCTATTTATTGTTATACCGCCAGCTGACTGCAAAAAGGAGATAGCTCCATTTTTCTTGTTTTCGAGTTTCGAGGATAAATGTAGTGCTGTATTAACGACATGAGCATGATATGCCTGCTCCACAGAACATACTAAAATATAGGTAATGTAGAAAAATGAAGTTATCTTGTTTTTACAGTAAAGTGACGATAGTGGAGCTACAAAGCCTTTAGTCTATAGTCTGTGAAATAGGAATTACAAGGTTGAAATCTTCTATTTAATTTCGCCATTTTGTTTGTATAAAATTTTAATGTCTCCAGTGCCACTCACACCGCTAAGACAAGTTCAACGACACTTCATATGTGAAAATCCGTCCAGCCGTTTGGCCTGTAGGTCAAAATATGCACGTTATCTATATCAACCCAAATGATAATCACTCTCAGCGTGACGTCATGCGCGCCGGCGGACGAAAATCGCACTGTTTCATACCCATATCATATTGGATACAAAATGTCTCCCACGTTTGTTTGACCAATGAAACCACATATATTTGAGAATCTGCTTTGATGTAGTAAACGTAAGCTCGGATTACAGTTTTAATGTCGACTAGCGATGTCAACAAAGCGCAGGACCTTATTGACAAAATAAAGATCGAACGACTCGCTTGCGTTATTAAGTTCGATACATTAAGTGTGAATAGAAGAAATTTATCGTATGGCAATAACGACTTTTAAGTAATCGTCCCTACAAAAAGTATGGTCTCAATGACCTTACTTGTTTGTACCAGAAAACCATTTTTTAACATAAGGATTGTTTTCTAGGACACCAGAAAACATCACCATCTACAACTACGTGTCCTCGGCTCAAAATCCAGTCACCTGGCGTGAGTTTGAAGCCTTCAACGCGTTATACCGCGAGCAGTTTTGTTCAGGAAGTTACTTCTGGCCACCTTCGTTTTGTGTCATCACAAGTCCCTTCTGGTATGCGCTGGCCAGGTTTTTACTTCATGACATTCCAGCCTTCATCGTTGATGCTTTACTTTTTCTTACTGGAAAGAAGCCAAGGTAGGTCAAACTGAGCTCTTACTACTCGTATGCAATCTCTCGGTAGCGATAGGGTTGTAGGACGTGGGGGAGGGTGAATATCGACATTTTGGCGTTAGTATTTTTTATACGATTCCAACCACAGCAATTCTACGCACCTAGTTTGCACTTGAAACTTTGAATACAGAGAAATATTTTTAATAGACGCGTCGAATGCAGCGAACGTAGAGAGATATACCTGTGTCGGGTGCTGACGGCTGGCGCGCGGTGCTTTGTCAAAGCAACGTTGCCAGATGGTTGGCACTCTTGCTAGTCAAGGGGGAAATGTCTAGATCGCAACGTTGTCATTTGGGTGGGGACTATGGTCTTATTGTTTTGCCTTCTTTAATTTTAGTGATATGCATATTCGTAGCTAACTTTTTTCTTAAAGAAACTAACTTGAGCCAAACATATTCCTTTGTGCACGGATGACAGAGGTGCGTGAGTAGTCCAGGGTCGACATACTTGACCCCATTTTTTCTTTGTTATCAGAGCCTTGGACATATATAGAAGAATGCACAAATTGTGTGGAGCGCTGCAATATTTCGTAACAAGGTCTTGGAGTTTCTCTAACAATAACATGTCCAACGTTTGGCAGAAAATGAGTGAAGAGGACCGAGGGATATTCAACTTCAATATAAGGGATGTTCACTGGATGAACTTCTATCATCATTATACCAGGGGCATTAGGAAATACTTGCTCAAGGAATCTGAAGAGCATCTGGAGGAGGATCGAATAAGGAATGAGAGGTAGGTATATAGATTTTTAGATGTCAAACTGAAGAAACGTTTGTTACTGAAGTTGCTCAAAGTAATTATAATTAAAAAAGGTACCAACAAATTTTGATTTGGCCAATTGAAGTGAAGTTAGTAATTATGTCTTTACAGCTTTAGTTACACCTTTTTTATAATAGCCATACTAGGATAGATCACCCTATGTATGGAAAACCTACATCGACCCCAAAGCACTATACAGGGTCTTCCGACACTAGAGGCATCTTGTTTTAAAAACAACTAATGTTCGGTGAAACAGCAGTGAAAAAGTAAAAAACAGCAGAAAAGCAGTCACTGTTCATTTGCTAAAAAAACTCTAAGTACCGTACTGTAGGTTAATAATAATGCTCGCATTTGTCATTGTTGCATTCAAAACCATTCGTAGGCTTCTTTAGAAAATTGCAATACTTGGGGCTAGATTTGCTGATGTGTCCATCTTGACATTTCTGCGAACAGCCTTTGTACGAGATAAACAAATTCTCCGAAAACTAACATCAAATGGAATGTGACATTTTCGGTTTTTTCGAATCCAATTCATATACAAACAGCTCGGTTTATCTACACGGCACGTGGCGTCATAGATTCATACTGACGAACGTCGTATCTTTCCATCTAGTCATTTGCTGGAGGCAGACTTGAAGTCGCAGATTTTCTCATAACCTCAGTCATTAGTGACCGACGCTACATACCTACCGTTAACATGTTACTTAGCGGTGTCAGTCATGAATTTTGTGTTAAATTATAATATCAGGTTTGCTGATGCGGAATGCATCGAAATAAATAAAATATTTATATCCTTACATATTCCTTTAAAATAAATTATGAATAATAATAATAAATAAATGATTTTTTTTACATTTTTCAAGAAAGCCCGTTAGCGAATAATGTGCTGAGACTTTGGTGTATGTGTTGATGTTACTAGAAATAACGTTCTTTTTTTTGTTACAGGTTCATTTTACTAAAAGATATCCTGAAGTACCTAATGATCTACGCGATAATCTCCACGGTTTTTAGTATCTTGTCTATAACATATCATGCCATTTTTTAGAAAATATTTTGTACAGCTTAGGTTGTTCAATAAAGTTCTTAATTAAAAGTGTGTTGATTTTTCACGGTAAAATAGTCCCAAAGATTCTATCCAATAGATGATTCTTTAACACTAAAACTGAGGAGCTTCAATTCAAAATTCGTTACCCCATAAACACCATTTTTTGGTACGCCGCGGAGTAATCTGAAAATTGAGAAATAAAAAAGGGGGAACAACTGAACCTCCGCTACAAGCAATATTACCAGTCATTGGGCGATCCTCAAAGCTTTCGCTCCATAACAAGTTCATGATCTATATTCAGATCTTAAACCTATGTGGTTCTATGATTGACAACTGTGGGTTTTGTTCCAAGAGCTCGAACATCCATAATATTCAAAGATTTCAAAATAAAGTTTTGAGAAACAATGTAATTCGTAGCAAAGATTGTAGTTACGTACTTGCTGGGATATGTGTTGAAGCGTTTCACCCTTTATCGACAAATTAGACTAGTATCCAGCTGGATAGCATTACGTCAGTACTGTAGCAGATTTCTTATTGCCTAAGTGTACAAACATTTGAAAATAGAAGGTTGTGTGGCTATTAATTTTAACTCATGGGTTGAGAGGAAGGTCAAAAATAAGAGACCAAAAAAATAACCAAAACAGAAATCAATTGGCTAATGATACTTCTCATCAAGGTACATGAATTATAGAGTAATTTTCGTATAACCTATGTGCTTCAGATTTTCTAATACCTAGTATGTTACCGGTCCCAACACCAAGAACCAAAGTGTCCAAGGGCTCAACGTTTTTCCATGAGCAGTTTCCGAGATACAGGGCTGCCAAGCTCCGTACTCAACATTCATGGTTTAACACGAATTAACATTTATAATTAATTTGACACTCGTCAGTGGTTCGAAAGTTCTAAAATATGGCAAAAATTAGAAAGATATGCTAAATTTTACAAAAAATCTATTTCTGTGCTTTCCAGGTTGCTGATAATAAACTTTATATCCATATTTCGAAAATCAAAATGACTGATACAATATAGTGCACATCTTTGAAAAAAAAAATGTTTTGATCGAGCTCTAAATTGTTTTAAGTGTTTTTAAGATCGCTAATAATGAACTAAATATCGATGCTTAAAAAAACTAAATGGCAGATTCAGTGTGACGGCTATGTTTGCAAAAAAAATCAATTGTACTCAAATGACAGTTGTATATGTTTTCAACGTATAATTTCTGTATTATTGTATTATAAGCTGCAGTCAGCTGCTATCACAGATTATTAGCTAGCTGCAGCCAAAATTGACATATTTCTTAACTGGATATCTCATAAGCATACTACTACTATTCAAAATCGTACTCTAATGGGATTTTTTACCTGTTTTCAATTTATTAAAAAAATAAACACATTTTATATTTACCTTCAACTCTGCAATCCATTTTACCACATCTCAATACATTTGATTACCTTAAAACGTGAATATTCGATTATATAAATTTCTTGCTCATTTGGCCAGGTGTTTGTGTTTCTGAACAACGCCTATGTATTTCCACGTCGACACAGAGAAGGTTCAAGAAGTATTCCCCTCCAGCCACAACATGCCCACTACAGTGTGAGTCTTCATAAAGTGCACATAGCAAAATCAAGGAAACTACACCTTATTTTATTGACGGAAAAATTATCAAAAAAAAAAATAAAAACAATAATTGATTTTTTATGAATATTTTAAAATTTTTAGAGTCAGCTGCTAACCCTATTTAAATAAATCGTTACAACTTTTAAACTGAATGTCCTATCATATTGGAATAAATTTTGTAGTGATTGCAAATAATAGGCGGTACCAGTAAAGTGAAAATTTCCACGAAATTTAATGCTATAAATTTAAAATAAAGAGGAATATGCTGAAACTCACTATTTTTTCAATGATTTTTAAAACAATTGCTAAATTTCAATAAAAATTGTCTTATTTACCCTAGCTTTTTTGAATGTTAAGTTATTCTACATGTTATTAGCTTCCTAATGGTGAAAAATTGCAAGTTTATTACTTAGATACAAGTTTTTAAATCAGCGTTTCAAAAAGCAGTGAACTCAGTTCAACGCCAGAGTAGGAATAAAACAACAGTATTAACCTACATGAATCATTCATTATCTTTAACAAATAAAATCAAATAGACTTGTCTATAGGATAATCATTTTGGCTTAGTGCATCAAATGTTCAAAATGGCCACCCCGTTGCTGCAAACACATTGTAGCGCGAAGTGAAATTTGATGAGTTGCCCTACGAATCATCTCGGGATCATTTTTGATTTCGTTTGCAACACGCAAAACTATTTCTTCAAGTTCCGCTTCGCTGTTTATGGAACTGCTGTACACCCTTTGTTTCATTGTCCCCATAAAAAATAGTCGAGAGGTGTGAGATCTGGGGAACGCGCCGGCCACCCAACAGGTCCTTGTCGACCGATCCAGCGGCATGGATAATTTTCATTAAGAAAAGACCTGACAATCAGCGAGTAATGGGCAGGGCATCCATCCATTTGAAGCATCATTCTTCGACGGGTTTGCAACGGCACTTCCTCCAACAGCAAGGGCAGTTCAGTCAGCAAAAGCTCCAGAAAGCTCTCTCCGTTTAATGTCCTCGGGAGTATTATTGGACTAATCAAAAAGTTGTCAATCAGTGTGGCCCACACATTTACAGAAAATTTCACTTGAAATGTTGAAGCCCTTTTCAGCCTAGGGTTTTCATCTTTTGGGCATCACTTATGTAAATTACGACAGTTCACGATGCCGTCTCTCGTGAATTGAGATTCATCTGTCCACAGAATTGTTTTCGGGAATTCAGGATTCTCTCTTGTTTTTATTAAAATCCATGTAGACATAACGCACCTTGGACGCCAATTCACATCTTCATGCAAGTGCTGCACCCTTTGATAATGGTATGGATGCAACCCTGCTTTCCTCAAGATGCGCCAAACCGATTTCTGGGATACGCCATGACGTAACGCCAAACGTCTCGTACTAGTAGTCGGGTCAGCAAACAAATCATCCAAAATGGCTTCTTCGATAGCAACATGAATAGTAACACCTGGTTCGCGGCGATCTCGACGCAAACCAAGTCCAGTGTTAGCCAGTCTTCTATGTACTCCTTGGAAGTTACGTGCTGATGGAACAGGGCGTCGCTTTGGAAATGCAGCTAGATAAGCTGCGCAAGCAGCTCTAGCACTTTCTCGGTACATTCCATAATAATAATGGATATCGGCAATGTGTGCCGGAGGGAAATCACTTATACGTGGCATCGCGGCCAAAAAGCGAAAGCGTGATATGTAGCAAACGAAACTGATAAAGTTGGCAGGAGAAATACAAATAGCTGCCTAACTGCCCAACATTCAATTGTTTTTCAACTGGGCCCGCCTCCCCACTCGTACTTCAGCCCGCGCGACTTTACATTGAATCACCAAAAAAAGGTATCTAGATGATAAACAATGGTGCCTAGCAAGATGATGCGCATGGGCTTTTTTATAAACACTCATAGAAACTGTTACATTTGAGTAATAAACGTGCAATTTTTACTTTTATAAAGCTGATAACATGTAGAATAACTTACAAATAAAAAAAAGGTAGGGTACAAGGGATGATATTTATAGAAAATTTGAAATTATTGTAAAAATGATGAAAAAAAAAACAGATTTTCATCAAAATTTTCTTTATTCTAAATGGATGACATTACTTTTCCTGGAATTCTTCACTTTTTAGGCACGTCCGTTTACCAGCAATCACTACAAAATGTATTCCAATATGATAGGGCATTTAGTTTAAAAGTTGTAACGAGTTATTTCAATATAGTTAGAAGCTGCTACTAAAAATTTAAAAATATTCATATATTCATAAAAAATCAAATTCATGTTTTTTTTTGATGATTTATCCGTCGATGAAATAGAGTGTAGTTTCGCTGATTTTGATATGTGCACTTTATGAAGACTCATACTGTATAACAATATTCACATTATCTCGAAATAAAAGCAATAATCAAATCTTTTACTGTTCTCGTTTACACCAATTAGGATTCATCCATCATAATAGACACATACCCCAATATTTATTTTGATCCTTTTAACCATACTAATTGAATATCTACTAACATCAAAATGATATACTGAGTGACAAAAGAAGGTAAACATCTACGATTTTAATAATTTTTGGCATATATATTATGTTCAGTGTCCCTTACTAGTGAAATAATTAAGTTTTCAGATTGATTCGTCAATTCCCACGGTGTGGTGAACGTGGCGCACTGTTAAATTGTGGGTGATGACTTTCATCACGTTGCCTTCTCACCCTTGCCCGACCATCGTGCATCTTAAGACAGAAGCGGGATTCTGTCCTATTCGGCGATATACCGTACGCATACCAACCATATTTCCATGCTCTTCAAACTACTGATTAGCGATGGCTCGAGTACTACTGAATCTGAAACAATGCACTCAGCCACCACACAAACTTAACAGGAAAACCTGACCATTTTATCACTTGTTCATGGCACGATAAATCGATATGAATTCTAATAAACATACGTAGGTATTTACCTTTTTTGGTGACTAGGTATACTTACAGCAGTATAATGATATTTCCGGAAAAGGAAACTTAATCATCCCTGTTTATTCTATGTTCTGTAGTATTGCTGACATGTTTGGAATGCTGATGCTCAGACTTCACTGTCTATACTTGCTATATGTGATACTTCCTATTACTAGAGTGTCTAGTAATAGGCAGTTTAGGATTTGTCCCTCTTCTAGTGGTGTGCTACTGAACGTTGCTGTTCTGAGCTTTCTTTCGTGATGCTGTCCCACGTTACGTCTCCTAGACAGATCCATCAGACCTGTGAACATCAAGAACTAGCCAGTATGTGGAATAATCTGCCCAAGGACGGTTTCTCCAGTTCGATTAATATTAGGCAGTTTGAAAATAAGATCATTCAAATAACTATCACATCTTTGTAGTACTCGCGGTATATCGGAGGTTTTGTCTTCGCGGTTGCTTTAGTATCAAAAAATAGATCGATTTTAGTAATAAGCATTTGACACGGAAAAATTATTGTTCAGATCGATCAGCCACTCTAAAAACGACAAGAATCAGACTCTGCCGCCATTGTCCTGATATTTTAAACATACTAAGCTTTTTCGTCATTGCATGCTAATAAGCTTGTGTAAAAATCCTCAATATCTGAGCAGTACTAAGGCGAATTTACAGTATTTACTGTGATGCATTAGTATTTGGCATGGAATTTGATATAATTTATTGAACGTATAGTCAGGACGTCAGTAATTACAGATGTATAAGCTTACTTGGAAATCCACTGATACTGTCGGAATGATCAGTAATGCTGATGATCCTCCATTATTTGATCAGAGTATCTTCTGAATGACAATTCAACGTTTACTAAAGCATATTGCCAGCTTTGCCCTATAAACTCTACCTTAAAGGATAAAAGCGCACTTGCAGGAGGATCACTGTCGGGTAAGATCAATGTAGGGCGCGTTTTGACTGTGCAAATTAAAAGCGCCATACCGCATAATAGGATGACGCTGAGGGAAAGAGGGATGAAGAAAGCGTGTTCCATGTGTCTCTGATAATGGAGGTGCTCTACATAACATTAATAGTATTTGAGTGAAAGATGCATCGGTTTAGGCGTCGAGGCTTTAGTCCAAAATGTGTCTATCAGTTACATAAAATAATAATGTTTTAAATGATTTAAATACGGCCCTTATCATGAGAAAATGCTTTACCAGTTCATTGTTCATTTATTCAAGACTAACTTTGGGACCATCACTTTTTTAGATTTTTTATGCTTGAACCTCCACGGAGGGTCGGGGAGGGGTTTCTGGCGCTGACATTTGATCGTTATATTGAAAACTACCTGCAAAATTTCAACTAATTTAGCCGAAAGCCATTTTCAATAAGAAAACTACGGGGTTATTCAAGCATAAAGGTTAACGAAAACATGACATACCCTGTAAACAACAATGGGTACTTAAAAACACATATTTATTAATTAAAATAAAAACTATACCCTACTTATACAACTGTTCCATTATTATTACTATCACTATGATCACTTCCTTTCTTCATTTTAAACACTTGTTCAATTTCATGTAGTGGCTTCCCTCTAGTCTCTAGTAAAAAGAACGCTACAAAAATCGTGCCCAAAAGCGGTACGATACCATATACCAACGTTCCGCTACTCCCAATCGACCTAAACATTCCTGGACTGGTCTTCACGACAGAAAAGAAAGCTGTGTAAGCCATGAAAGACCAAATTCTACTTCCAATACTTCTAAATTTAAGAGGGAAGAGCTCACCGATTGGAGCCCATGGCAAAGGAACGAAACCTATAGAGATTGCAGCAATGTAAAGGAAGAGACAGAATGCTGGAACCCAGTTTAGGGAGAACTCAGGGTACATTTTTGAGAAGAATGTAAGGAAACTCAATGTGAATAGAGATACGAATGTTCCTACACCACTTATAAGTGCTAAGGATCTTCTGGTGCAGTTTCTTAATAGAATACAAGCAATGACTGACATTATTACTCTCACAGCATCTACCAGTAACATAGCAAGATATTCATCCAGACCATCCCCTATAGTATCCTTCATTATTTCGACTGTATAGAAAGTTATGGCATTCACTCCTACCCATTGATTTGCTACAATGTATACTACTATTATAACCAAAGGTTTCCAAAATTCAGGTATAGCTAGCTCCTTGAAACTGATCTTAATATCCTTTTCTGCCTCTTGCCGTTGCAATATGATGTTAAGTTCTTTTTCCGCGTCATCTGAGCACCCCCTGCACAAATGGAAAGCATGCTGGGCTTCTTCTTGTCTGTTTTTCTTCGCCAACCAACTTGGTGATTCTGCAGGAGCATGAGACTTGTGAGAGATATCAGGGCGGATAGAAGAGCAATGAGTTGTCAGTGTAGATATGTACCCAGTAAGTGTACTAGGAATAAGCCTGAAAGAAATATTCTAGTGCTGTTAGAAGTACATATATGGAATACAGAACGTCTAAAATTTGAAGATATTAGGTTACTACTAGCCGTCAGTTTCATTAATGATAAGAAATTGCTCATTTCGGATGCCCGTACAAGAGACGAGGGTAATCCAAAATGTAAGGCGTCAATGTTTGTTAAAAGTTAAAACATCATTTATTTCCAACGATTGATACATCATCAGAGACGAGGATTCCATTGTCTGGATGAATCAAAACCAGAAAAAGACTGATTAAAGAAAAAAACGCCGAGACACGTCAAAAGATTTGTCAAGTGGGACAACTTTTTAACCAAAAACTACTTCATCCCCCTTTCACCCTCTGCCACCCCAGGATCATCCCCTTAGATATTTTAAATGGATTATCGAATAATAGCTTGTTTGAAAGGTCTTTCAAAGTCCTTTATTTTGACATTTGATTTTTTAAAATCTGGCGATTCGTTTTCAAGAAAATTATTAAAATCTTTATTTATCTTAATTTGTTCAGATAGAAAACAAAAACACATGAAAATATCACTTTTCACAACAACAAGTGTTCAAAACCTTGCCCGTTATTGGCCAAACAATGATATAGGCGATGTTCAAATTCCTGACGGACATTTTCAGGTTGGGGAGTAAACACAACACACAACAGATTTCATATGACCCCATAGAAATAAGTCTAATGGCGTCAAATCAGAAGATCTAGCAGGCCATTTTATAGGCCCTCTTCGCCCTATCCATTTATCTGGAAACTCGCCGTCTAGCCATTGCCGAACCGGAAGAACATAGTGAGGAGGGGCGCCGTCTTTCTGGATATATATTTCAGCCTCATCAAGTATAGGGTTTCCACGACCAGATGAACATTGTTACACGGCAAGCGAGTATGCTGACATGCATCTTGTTTATGGAGAAACAAGGCGTGTTAACAGTAGAGGTGGAGCAAGTTATTCTGCCAGGGAATCTGCCAGGATTTACGCTGAGCGGTATCCGAACTGTCAGCACCCAGCTTATGGAGTATTTTTAAGAGTACACAACGCTTACTCACAGGGTCGATTTCCTGGTGTTGTAGAGCACGTAAACAACGGATCCGTCGACGTCGCTGCGCGCTATTGAACGAAGAACTGGCATTCCAAGATCATCGGCACACCGAATACTGCAAACGTTAAGATACCATCCGTATCACGTGCAAAAAGTGCAGTCTCTTTTAAATAGAGATTATTACTGCGTGTACAATTTTGCCGAAAAATGATCGAGATAAGCCGAGAAGACCCCAACTTTTTTAATCGAGTTTTGTGGAGTGACGAATCCACCTGTAAGAAAGATGGCTACACAAATCTCCACAATCTACATAGCTGGCAAATATCAAACCCTCATTTAATAATAGAGGACCGTTCTCAGTACCCATTCAAAATCAATTTATGGACTGGGATTTTTCACAGCAGAATTGTGGATCCAGTGGAATTACCTGCAACATTAAATTCGGCAAATTCTTTAGAACTATTGAGAGACACATTGCCGAGACTTTTAGCAGAAGAACCAGAGGATTCAATACAAACAATGTGGCTACAAAATGACGGATGCCCAGCCCATTTTGCACGTGAAGTGAGGGCCTACCTTGATGAGGCTTTTCCTAGGTGGTGGATTGGCCGACTGGGGCCAATTCTATGGCCACCAAGGTCGCCAGACCTAAACCCTCTAGATTTCTTTTATTGGGGTTGCCTCAAAGATAAAATTTATTCGCGACCGAACACACCGATTGGATCCCTGGAAGAATTAAGAGAGCGTATTAACCAGGCTGCACAACAAATTTCTGCTATGAGCTTGCGGCGCCTAAAACAAAATTTTTTGAGAAGATGCGCATTGTGCATTCGTACTGGTGGCAGACACCTTGAACATCTTTTATGAGAATCGTAATTGGTTACTTCTTTATTGATGTTTTTGGTTGATTAAAGTTGAAAATTGAAAGTACTTTTCTGTGTTTTCTTAAGTTTACCTTACATTGAAACACCAGTTTTTGATTCTTATACTTTTTCAACAAGTATTGAGCTGTGTAACAATAGTTTGAACATTCGATCAACGTCAAAAACAATTATGATTTGAAAAGTGTAATTCTGAAATTCGACCCATTTCGCCCTTGCACTCTAAGAATTTTTATTCTCCTACTCTGTTGAGGTAAATTACCTGATTTGTACCATTTTCGAATTTTCATTAACTGGGCTATTTTTCGGAGAGGTTTGCCAAACAAGTCCCATACATTTTTCTTATACCACTGTTAGTCGAACTTACAAGAAACTTTTTGGTGCAGAAAAAAAATTCCAAAATAGCGCTGCGATTTCAAAATTACGTGACTTTTAGAATAAAACTGTTTGTAGTTTCATGCTTCAATCATTCGCTAATAATAATAGTGAAAAAAAAAATGAAAATAAACCCTAAACGCGGCACCTGTCGTCGAAAGTTTGACCAAAGTCATACTTTAAAAAAAAAACGATTTTTTGTTTTAACGCAAAGGTTACACGTTTTTTTTGTCAGGTCTTTACCGCCATTGAGAGGTCATTATCTAAGGTATCTCCCATTGCAATTTGATTCACATATTCTGGGACACCCTGTATGAAATAGGGCCATTAAATTGTCTGAATACGTCCTTTCTTAGTCCGTTCATTGCGCCGCAACGCTTAGTTTGACGCTTTATTTTTTGATATTTTTGGATGAAATTTTCAGAGTGCTGAAAACAAAACCCCACAGGGTGCTATAGAGCCACTTTTTCATTTTTTCACTAGGTTCTTTTTAAAAAAATCGCGAAGTTGAACAGAAAAAGTGCGCACTTCAACCCATCATAAAACTTGTGCAAAAACAAAATTTCTAAAAGTGCTCCTATAGCACCCTGGGCAATTATCGTCTCAACATACTGAATGAATTTCATTCAAAGATATTGAAATATGGAGTGTCAGTTTTGAAGCAGCTGAACCCTAGTAAATGGCTTGAAACTCACTGCGTCGGAGCCGCCTTAAGAAATCATCCGGCCCCACGGATGTTTGTAAATTTAGTTAGTTATTCATGTGACACAAGATATAGAATATAAAAGAACAACGAGGAGGTCTAATGTTATCATTTATATATTCAGTTTTTATCCTTTAATTTATTCAGTTGAACATTCAACTCATACTTTCTATTTTCATTATTTTATTTGTACCTACCATTTTTTATATCTGTGTAAGGTTGAGTGGAAGAGCACGCAATGCGAACTCCGCCTTTTGGTTAATCCAATAAAGACAATTATTATTATTATTATTTCAGTGTTTTCCTCTTGTCCTATTGTTGCAGTATTAAGCGAATCCAGATCTCTACCCGAGATCAAAGCGATTCACCCCAACACCTTGCGGATAATGTGAGCAGTGCCCAGTAGTGCTATTTTCTGCACTTCAGCAACAGATGGTTTTCCTGGTAGTTGTGACAGGTTGGTCTGTAAACCGTTTCTAAGGGTCCCTAGGGCTCCTACAATGACTGGAACTGTTCGGGTCTTAACGTTCCACATTCTGCTTACCTCTATTTCCAGGTCTTTATACTTGCTTAACCTTCCTGCTTCCTTCACCATTATGTTCGAATCGTTAGGAACATCTACTAGTAAGCAGGTTTTTGTTCTTTTATCAAGATGCACTACGTCCGGGCGGTTCGCAGGTATGGTTCTATCAGTGATGATGGGTACATCCCACATGATTCGAACATCCGTATTGTTTACAACTTTATTATTTTGTGTTTGCTCATCAGCCAGTTTAAATACCTTGCTACGTTGTTGTGCCTTTTTTGTATTCAGTAGGTGCGAGTGTGGTACATTCAGCCACGATGTGGCTTATGTGTTCCTCTGCTTGATTGCACTTCGCAACCAAGTATGCGTTTATGGTGATAGCGTGTGTTGAGGGATTGGTCCTGAGCAGCAATCAAGAGGCTTTCTGTTCCGCCCTTCAGACCAGAAGTACGGAGCCATGCAACGCTAGCGTCTTTGTCTACGGCTGGTCTACTGAGGGCTCTGTAGAACTGGCCGTGTAATGGTTTATTTTCCAACATTTCCATTCTCCGTTTAGCAATGCTGGCCTTGATTTGGACCTTTGTGTTCGACGTCCTAGAGTTGTCACTTTATTAGTTTGATTTTATACTCGCTGCTTCTTTCTCAAGTGAGTATTTACGTTTCTGGGCATCGTGGATTTTCAACATTTTCGTATATTTGTCTTTCTCCGAGCTCAGGTATTCATGCAGGTCTAGAATGGCCGTGCGATGTATAGACGCTGAACGTCAGCTTTGGGATGATGCATACCTTCACAAGCTAGGAGTTTTCTTGTTTTCCTATCTAGCTTCTGTATATCGGTTCTCAACCAATCCAAAATACCGAAACTATACGTCAGCACAGGAACAGCGATTGAATTGATAGACAATACCTTGTTTTTTGAACTTAGCTCCGTCCCGCTAACAAGCCTTATACACCGATAGTACTCTCTTGTCAGTCGTTTCTCCATCTCTTCGTGCTCAATGCTCCCGCATTCCTCCACTACCAAATACTTGTAGGTTTCACCGTTATCTATCTTTTTATTTGCGTGTCGTCGTTCAATTTGATGTTTTCACTTCTCTCAACTTTTCCTCTTTTCATAGTAATCTTGGCACATTTGTCAAGTCCAAATTCCATACCGATATTGTCACTAAATATTTTTACTATTGAGAGTTCTTTCTCCAGCTGTTTATCGTCTTCGGCAAAGAGCTTCAAGATGGCTTATTTTCCTGTTAAGACCAACACTGAAACCTAGTCCTTCTTCGTTCAGCATATTGCTCAGCGGTATTAAGTCAATACAAAAGAGTAAAGGAGAAAGCGAGTCTCCTTGGAAGATTCCACGCTTGATATCAATACCTTTTGTTTTAATACACCCTTTGGAATGGTACAGTACCATCTCTGGCTTCCAGTTTTCCGTCGATGTCCGAATGAAATTGGAGACTGTGGGAGCAATGCCAAAGCAAGTGACTGGCAGGTAGATTTTTTGGATCTGCTGTATCTTTACCTTTAGAGAGTAAATAGGTTACTCCTGCAGTCAACCACGTTGGTATATCTGCTGGATTTTTAATGATACTATTAATCGCATTGGTCAAGGGTACATGCAGCACAATGATGTGCTTTAGCCAAAAGTTTTGCACCTGAAACAGGGATACTTGATACAAGACAACTTTATTTCTTACATGCCACCACCTTATACCATAAGTATTGTAATAAAAAGAAAAAATCCTATAAACACGAGCATAACACACGATTTCGAATAGGCTCATCTAATATCCAAAGACCACACAAAACATTATTCAAAAAATCATTTAAATTCTTAGCAGCTAAATTATATAATGTAGTACCAAACGAAATAAAGATACTTAATTTTGGAAAAAAATTTAGAAGAAAATTGAAAGACTGGGTTAGTAATGTGCAGCGAATGACTATACATAATTATATAGAAAACTAAAACTACAAAATTCCAATTACATTAATACCTTTTAGATTTAACAATAATTGTTATACACATATATGATTGATTGTTAGTTATTAAGATATAAACCACACACAGGCGATGCCTTCTGTGGTTTTTTCATATTTATTTGCCCATTTTTTGTATTTTGGCGAATAAATATTATTATTATTATTATTATCCTGATCTGGTGACAGTCTTGCACAAGTCTTATGGTATCTAGATTTCCTCTACCGTTAAGTCAATCCAATCTTCAGGTTTTATATATTTTTGTCTCCTAATTTCATTACCAATCCAACATGCAGCACTATCATGCGAGATCTTATTCTCTAGTATTCCTCGCCAAAACTCTTAGACTCGCGAGTCCGGTGGTGGGCATTTAACAACACGACTTTTAGGTGTCTTCAGCAAATAGCTTGTTCCGGTGATAGTGGTTACTTCGTTTTTCATATCTTTCCTTTATCGTTCCGTCTATTGCATACTTCTAATTTATCTTGTTATACAGGGTTTGCCCGGAAAGTAATAGGACTGAGTCGATTTAAAAAAAATTATTGAGCCAATCGTTACAATTCTTTAAAAACTTTCAAAATAGGCTCCTTCTGCGTCGATGCAGCGCTGTCAGCGCGATTTCCAAACATTGAAGGCGTCACGGAAGGCATTCTGCGGAATAGCCTTGAGACCCTCGGTGCATGCTGCTTGGATCCCCTCTGTCGTCTCAAAATGCTTGCCTTTTATCGGCCATTTCAGGCGAGGAAACAAAAAAAAGTCTGGGGGGGGGCACATCTGGGCTGTAGGGCAGCTGCGGAAGCGTTGGGATGCCGGCGTGTGACCCGGGGCGGTGTTGTGGTGCAAATTCCAGTCGGCTGCGATGTCTTGTCGGACCCGACTGACCCTTCGTTTGAGTCTCCTGAGCACTTCCACGTAAAACTTGGCGTTGACGGTTTGTCCAGGAGGAACAAATTCATGGTGGACGATGCCTTTGATGTCAAAAAAGACAATGAGCATCGTTTTCACTTTGGATTTGCTCATTCTTCCCTCGTGTGCCACTCGGAAGATTGCCTCTTTGTCTCGGGATCATACTCAAAGATCCACGACTCGTCACCTGTGATTACGTTATTCAAAAATTGGGGGTCACTTTCACACATGTTCGAATTTTCTTGGCACACTTCCACTCGCCGCAATTTCTGGTCGTCAGTGAGCACTTTTGGGACCATCTTCGCGCACACCTTGCGCATGTTCAAATGCTGTGTCACAATGTCATGAACCACAGATTTTGGTAAATTTAACATCTGGGCAATTAAACGAATACTTAGTCGACGGTCTGAGTTCAAAACTTTGCGCACACGAGTCACATTATCGGTGGTTGTCGAAGTCGAAGGTCTTCCAGCACGGTCTTCATCAGCGGCCTCTTCCCGGCCCTCCAAAAAGGTCTGGTGCCACCGAAACACACCACTTCTTGCTAAAGCAACACCTGGGTACGCCTGCTTGATCATATCAAACGTCTCTGTCGCAGATTTATCGAGTTTCACACAGAATTTAATCGCGTACCTCTGCTCTAACGAACGCTGCATTTTCGGCTTGCACCACTCACAGAAACACGTCGCGCGAAAATGCCTGTCCTGACTCTCCAAGTGCTCGGAGACAACTGACCAGCCGCTCAATCGTTAGCTAGGAACGCCCTCTACCGAATCCATGAGTCTTAT